TTTTTTTTTTTTGAAAAAAAAAAATTAAAAACATTTTTTTTGAATTTTGAATTAACCTTTTTTTTTTTTTTTGAAATGATATTTTATTACTGAAACCTTTAAAATTGTCATTTATCGAAAGAAATATTTGTCGTCTATCATTTGAAATTAATTGTCAATTGAAATTTGTCATGTCATTGAAATTTTGTCATTGAAATTTTGTCACATTGAGATTGTCATTCATTAAAATTGTGAAATTGTCATTGAAGTTGTCGTTCGATGCCTTATCGGATGAAATTTATCGGAAGAGATTTTTTGTCGGTTATAGGGTAAATTTGTTTGTTGAACGGAATTTCCTATACGTTTTATTATTTGTCCCTGTAATTTTTTAATGTTTATCGGATAAATTTCCTTTACTTATTTGTTTGTTCGAGATTTTCTATACTTTTTTTTTTTTTTAAAAAAAAAAAATTCCATGCTTTGTTTTACTTGAACGAAAATAGAATGAATAGAATTTTTTTTATTTCTTAGAATAAAAAACTTAATAACTAAAGTAATAAAATAAATAAATAAATAAATAATTATTTTTTTTTGTTTTAAAAAGAAAGGATAAACGAAATGAATAAATAATATTGACGATACTATTTGTTTTACAGATTACGAATATCATTTTAGTAATAATAAAAATATATATATATTATAATGAAAACTTATTTAAATTAATTTATATTTGAACTTATATTACGCTTATACAATTTTGTTTAAAATGATAAATTAAAAATTTTTAGTAATAATGAAAATAATCTTTTTAGTAATAATAGATAATGAAATAATGTAATTAAATAAAAACAAAAAGTTTATGGAATGATATTAATTTCTAAAAATAAAGATTAGTATTGTAATAGAAAATGCATTTTTTCTCAAAATAGTAAATTTTCGTAAAGAAATGATATCAAAAAAATGCCGAATGTTTCAATTTTTTTCAACGTTTCAACTTTTCAATGTCTCAAAATGGCTCAAATGTTTCAAATGTTTCAAAGTCTCAAATATATTAAAAATTTTTTAACATTTTTTTACTAAAACAAAGAGATTATTTTTTCGTAAAGAACAAAGTATCTTGATGATATCAATGTCATAATGTCACAATGTAATGTCACAATGTTTCAATATCTCATGTTTCAAAGTAATAAAGTTTATAAAGTTTGAACTTTAATATTTAATTAATTTTACTACTATGAACTTTATAGTATGAACTTTATTAATTTTAATTAGTATGAGCCTTATTAATTTTGTTAGTACGAGCTTATTAATTTTATTAGTACGAGATTTATTAATTTTATTAGTACGAGCTTTATTAATTTTATTTAAATTTCTTAATCATATTAATTCGTTAAATCATTAAATCGTATATATTCGTTAAATCATTAAATCGTGTATATTCGTTAAATCGTATATATTCGTTAAATCATTAAATTGTATATATTCATTAAATCGTTAAATTGTATATATTCGTTAAATCGTTAAATTGTATATATTAGTTAAATCGTATATATTCGTCAAATTACTTTATCATAATATATTCGTTAACATGTTAATTTTATTAAATTTCTTAATTATATTAATTCGATATATTCGTTAGTCAATTTATAATTCGTTGTATTTGTTGTCTATTGTGTCTATTGTGTATTTGTCGTCTATTACTTAATCATATATATCCGTTCTTATATATCCATTATCATATATATATACTTCGTCAATTCAACTCGTTGTAATACAAAATTTCCTTATCATGTCAATTCAATTTGTCAGCTCGTTAAATTTCCTTATTTTATCAATTCTTTTAAAACTTTTGACATACAGATTAAACAACATTTTTAGGCAATCAAATCAATAAAATTGACGCGTTCAAATAAGTCATTGATTTTAACCTTAAATTAATAAACCTGTTTAAAAAATTATTAAAAATTATAATAAAAATCAAGAAGATCTCCTTGGAAAAGGGTTCAAAAAGGGTTCATAAATATTAAATGATCATAAGATTTCTAAATAAACGTTAATCGTTCTTCATTTTATTAATTCATTTTAAGGGTATCACTAAATATAAATACAATTAAAAAAAAAAAAAAAAATTTATAATAAATAATTTATATCTGTTGTTAAACTAATTAAATAGTATGTATAAAAAAGGGTTCATTCGAAAAAAAAAAATTTAAGGTTTCAAATATTTTGAATTTCAAATAAAGAAAAAACCAATTATCAAACAATTATTAACCAATTATTACCATTTTTTTAATTTGTTTATGTTTTAATAACAAAAAGAAATCGTAAATCTTTAACAAAAAAAATAAAGAAATTATTAGTTTCTTTTCTTTCATCAAAATTATCGATTGATAAATATTTTGTTGATCGAAAAAAAGTGACTAGGTGATTCTTCGTAGGGGGAGAAAGGGGAGTAGCAATTACAACATTAAAACATTACAACATTAAAACATTAAAACATTACAACAACGTTAATAACATTAATAACATTACACCTTTTTTTCCATTGTCATTTTTTCGGTCGATGAAAAATTTTGCTTAACTAATAAATTAAAATTCTCCTAATTAGGTAATTAATGCTGCGTCTTTTCGTCTTTTTGACATATACAAGGGTGATATTGTTCATCGTGACAAGGGTTAAAAAATAAACAATGATGATACAAGTCTATTGTTAATAAAGAAAACCTGTTATATATATTTATATATAATAATATATATATGATATATATGATATATAAATAAATTTCCAAATATAAATTTATTAACTTCTAAATAATCACAATACGTAAATCAAGAAGCAAGTGGTAAATCATCAAATATTTTTTACATGTGTACGATAAGTATTAATGTGCATAAACAAGTTTATTTTATAATGAAGAAAATAATAAAAACATTTTAAATTAAGTTTCTTTCCATGAGAAAAAAAATAAAAACACATGAAAAATTCTTGCACTGCTCACATTGTACATATTATACATACACATACATATTTAAACACGCATATAACTATCTAAAGTAAAAACAATTTCAATTTTTCCATATTTAATTAATTGATCGGTAAAGAAGCTTATTAATAACATAATAATAGTTGAAACAATCATTTTCATTACGTAACCTTCTCAAAATCAGAAAAGAGTTATTTGATCACACAAAATCACACCTTTTTTTTTTTTTTGAACAATTTGAAAACAATTTAAATTTTTTTAATATAGGAAGGTAACATAAAAGCTTGAATGTTTATATTTTTGTTTATATAAAAAAAAAATCTGTGTTTCGGTGGTTCGGTGTTTCGGTGTTTCGGTGTAAAAAATATTAAATCCCAAAAAATTCACAAGTTGACCAACGAGAATATAGGGATTCACATATTAGTATATTTATTATTAGCATATTAGTATATATATTTATTATATAGCACATAACTTCGTATTAGCACATACTCACATTGCTATATTACTCACATATTGACATTGCTTATACACATTGCTCATTTTGCTCACATTTACTCACATTACTCGCATATTCTTATATTCAAATATTCTCATTTACTCATTTATCTCATTCATTCTCTTTTTTTTTTAATAATAATAATACATGATTGTTATCAGTTATAGTAGTGCGTATGCATTCTCTTTTTTTCAAATGTCTTGCATACAATATAAAATTATTCTTAAATATTGTTATTGTTATTTTTGTACATTTCGACACATTTAAAACAATTTTAAACATTTCACAAATTTCACACAAATTTCACACATTTTAAACATTAAAAATATTTCACACATTTCAAAACATTTCACACATTTTAAACATTAAAATATTTCACACATTTCACACATTTCCACATACAATTTTTCATTAAAGACTATCTTCGATTTGTTCTTTAAAATAAACCTTAAAAATAAAATATTCTTTTGAACTAAACCATTAATATAAAATTAATTGGTAAATTTGTGTAATTACGTATTAATCACATAAAAAATTATCAATGAGAAAATAATGCATTTTTTTTTTATTTTTGTTGTAGATCCAATGTGATGATTAAGCGTCATAATACGATAAAATTCATAATTTCCAATAATTCATTTTAGCGGGTAAATTGGGTAAATTCAAATATCACATTACCGTTATATTTTTTTTTTTTTTTGTTTTTTTTTTAAACAAATTTTTTCAAATTAATAATTACAAATAAGCAGGGTATAAATATTTAAAGATAATGTAAAGCATCACCCTAACTTTAAAAAAAAAAAATTTATTTATTATTTAGATTTGTTTCACTCATGCCCTTTAAAAAATTCGTATAAAGTTAAAGATCATCTATTTATTAGTATGACAATATTTTGTATATATAATCGTATAGGTGGGTTTCAGTTGTTACAATTTGTTAACAACATGAAAAATTTATTTATGAAAATCCCGTTTTTTATCGTAAACAGACGAACAATTAAAATTATTTTAAAAGAAACCAAGGCAGTTAAAAATTTGTAAATAAATAAAAACTTTAAAAAATTTTTTATTTTCGCCTAAAATACCTATTATGGGATCTATCACGTACTATGTAGAGACGTTAAATATTATTTATCATATAAACAAATTATTTCAATATGGAAATTATTTGTTTGCGTAAAAGAAAGTAAAGAAAAAAGGTTTTCATTTGTTTTACTAAGAAAAGATTAAATGATAAGATTTTAATATGTTTTTAATATGTTTAATATGTTTTTATTCCTAATTTATAATTACAATAAAAAATTAATATGTGATTGATTCAAAAATTTTTGTCTCATGAATCCTGTTTTGTGTTTGTTACCTATAATAAATACTAATAAATAACCTTATTTATCTTTTTCCTTCTCTTCCCCGTCCTTTCCTTTATCTCTCTTCTATTATGTAATCATGATATATATCAATTTATTATTCGTTCGCATAACTTTATTACATTGTTTGTAAGAAAATCACAAATATATTAAACTCTTTGTTAAAAATTATCAAGGCATTCTAAAAGAATTTTTATTCATTCCCGTAAATTTTATAAAGAATTTTTAATTTCCGGAATATGTTGATGCATTCAGCATTCATCATTATTTTATTACTTTACTACACACATGAAAAATTTTAAAAAAAACAAACAAGCGATAAAAGTATCACTGTTTAATTAACTTTTTTCCTATGCATATCATATGATCAATTTTAAAAAAGGAAACTTTCTTTTTCTTTTCTTTAAAAAGGAACATTTAGTAAATAAATAAATAGAAATCCCTCTATTATTTTTTCTTTTAGATTATGTTATACTTATATTATTGTAGCTTTATTTAAGTAATTGAAATACCGATTATTTATGGTTTCTCCACATGTTTATTTTTTTACACCGTTTCTCTCGCGCAAATCCGAAATTTATATATCACATATGAAATCATATCATGTTATGTTTAAAATGTTTAAAATATCTAAAATATCTCAACCCCCCATTCCACATTATTCGAGGGGTTCAAATTTGAGGTCTTTTTTTTTTCCAAAAAATATTTATTGATTGTACTTTTTAACTTGTAATTCTCTGTATTACCTTAAATTAAAGTTCTGGTCATCTTACTAAAATTCTTTTATTATTATTTTTTTTTCAGATTTATGATAAACAATTCGCGTTATTAAAATTTATATTTTAATTATATCGAATTCTTTAAAAATTTTCCGTTAGTTTATTTTCAATAAGGATCCAATTATAAAATATTTCATTTAACTATGATATATAAAGTTACTATTGCTTCTTTTATTATACATGATCATCATAATCCCGTATCATCCGATCAATTTTTTAAGGAAAATAACAAAAGTTAAAAAAAAAAAATAAAAAAAAAAAAAAATATTAA